CGGGTGGAACAAAAGATAAACAGAGCATAACTGGCTGAGTAAATGGTTACTTAAAGGAATGCAGAAACATTGTATACAGAGGTATCCTGCCTTGGGGCAGGAGATGGCAGAGCAGATTTTAGCAAAATGGATGCCATGCAAACAGTCTCCCACAAAACATGAAAGTAACTACATGAGTAGTCCCACATATTAAACCTAATCAATATGTTTTTTGGGTTTTTTTTTTTTTTTTTGCATTTATCATCAGACAGAGAGGGGGGAAGAGAGAGAGAGAAACAGAGAGCGACACATCGAGTGGCTACCACCCACACGACCCCAACCAGGGCAGTGACACAAACTGCAACCGAAGTACGTTACCTTAGTGGGAACTGAACCCAGGTCTCTCTGGTCTGCAGGCCGACACACTAACCGCTGAGCCAAACCAACCAGGGCCCTAATCAATATGTTTAAATTATAAGTAAAACCAATTCCCCAAAAAAATTTCAAGGAAGCTTTTCTTTCTCTCTATGAGTTAGGAGACTATATATATTTATATTTTTTAAATATAATTAGTAGAATACATGTAAAAACATATTCATTTTACATATATATGTATAAAGTTCTTTAAATTAATAAATCTTCAAATAGCAGAATATAATACAATGTACTTATAATCTAATTTTTGATCATTTAGAAGGAAATCAAAATGGTATACTGTCACAAAAACTTTTATCTAAAAACAAACTATCAAAGTACCTATTCTCTCACTAGATTTCCAGTGCCAGAACAGTGGGAAATATTTGTTGAAACAATGAATAAACTAGTTTCTTTTGTTATTAGAAGGCATAAATACTTATTAATTGTGATTCAACCAAGTTTACAAATAGTAAATATTAATGTCAATTACCTTATTCATTACTCATTTCTCACTATTAGAAAATAGAGTGTGGGTCCTGGCCAGTTTGGCTCAGCTGTTAGAGCGTCGGCCTGCGGTCCAGAGAGACCCGGGGTCGGTTCCCGCTAAGGGCATGTACCTCAGTTGCAGTTTGTCCCTGGCCCTAGTTGGTTGTGTGGGTGGCAGCCACTCGATGTGTCCCTTTCACGTCAATGTTTTTCTCTCTCTCCCTCCCACTCTATCTAAACAAAAAATGGAAAAAAATGTCCTCGGGTGAGGATAAGAAAAAAAAAAAATACAGAGTGGAACAAAAGTAGTTTTACAGTCATATGGAAAATAATACAACAATTAATAAATAATAATACAAGAATAAACTCTGTTTTTTGTAGTCAACTGTAAATCTACTTTTGCCACACCCTGTATGTTGAATGAATCAATAAATATAACTGCAGTGGATGCTGTGACTCACCATCAGAACCCCCTTTGCCATTGAAGGGCTTATTTTCCTAGCTGTTGGGAGCAATGCTGGCAAGCAGTCCTCAGCTGTCAGCCCTCTGAGGGCTCAGATAAGGAGAGCCATTTGGCCCAAGTTCATACTCCTTCCTGAGGCAACTGAATCTAACTGAGGCAGGATAGCAAGAAAGTAGGAAAATTCCTGGGCAAGTAGAATAGGAAAACTGAGACTAGATAATTGAACAAGGCCAAACAATTAAACCCATTCGCAGCCAGTGAGTAGTGAATTGCAAGACCTCATCTTCCCTAACCAAGGAAACTTGAGAAGAAATGGTTTATACCTCTCCTCCCTGACCCGAGAATACATAGCTTAAATCACCCTGGTCAGGGAGATAGAGGACAGAAACCCAATAATGCCATTTGTGCCAGCCAAACCCAACAATGGATGAAGTCAGAGGAACAAATACCAAAAACCCAATTATAGCCAGACAGATGCAAGATAAAAGTAAAGCAGTGAAGCTTCAAGCAGAGGATAACCCCAAACTACCCTATATACTCATTTAGACTCATCAGCATATTAAAAACACACTTGGAAAGCTGATGAATATTGTGCTGATACCCTCCCCTACAATCAAGACAAAGGATGTGGGGCGGGCTCTCTCTGGAGCACACCCATTCCCCTTCTCCGGCATGCACTTCTTACTTCCTTTCTCCTAAACTCTAAGGGTCCCCACAAGACTTGCAACCAAGGGAACAGCAAGTAGTGGCAGCTCATCCCAGGCTGACTGCCTGACCCTTTCTCCAAAGCCCCCTTTTCCTCTGACTTTCCAGTGAGCTAACAGCAGCCCTGACTTGGCTCACTTCCTAGGGAACCAAAGCAGTGCACCACCCAGACTCTCTCCTGTTGCTTCTTCTACCCTAAGTCCTTCCTTTGTTTCACTGTCTCCAGCTTTAACAAATGTACTCTCAAAATCACCTGGACTGGTGTGAAATCTTTCCTGCAAGAAATCAAGAACCCACAAACTACAGGTGGGCCCGAGGTAGACCTGCTCTGGGCCCAGTCCCGTCCAGTAACATAATATTTGGGGATATAAAGGACCATCTCCCCTCACCCCAACTTGAAATAATTATGAAGATCATCCCAGCTTTAGAACTAACTCTTAGGGTTGTTGAGACTGTATCACAGTCCAGCTTCCATGGAAATTGGGCTTCCTTCGAGGCACTGGTCCCAAAAGGTCTCACTAGTAAATTTGCTGCACTATAACTTCCGAGAGCCTGCTTTCAAGAAACCCAACCTGAGATAACAGTTCAAAAGAGTATCTAGATTTGATCCAGATTTAAACCACCCAAGGAAAGGTATTTGACTTCAGAGTAAAAGTCAATAAATATAAATGGCTTTACAAAGGCTAAGGAATGATAAACTCTTATCCCTGTAATTTGTTTCCATTTCAGCTATTTAAAGAAATCAAGAGACCTAGAGTATTTTGAGGGCTGTCTCAAAAAAGTGCATCTGTTTTACTATCATGTAAGCAATAAATGACAAACTATACCAAATGCAATTCTTGTCTAACTTAAAAGAATGCAAAAAAAATTAAATATTAATGAATTTAGTGTAAACATGGTATAAAGTACTGCAGAGAACAGAGCTGTTCTTATCGTGGGTGTTAATTAAATCTCACTTGCTAAGAAATTGCTTTACCACTTAAAGCTACTCAATACATTTAGTATAGTACTTTTTCTTTTTATCCTCACCCAAGGATATGTTTACTGATTTTAGAAAGAGAGGAAAGGAGAGAGGGAGAAACATCGATGTGAGTGAGAGAAACATTGATCAGTTGCCTCTCACAAGCACCCTGACTAGGAATCAAACCCACAATCTAGGTATGTGCCCTTTCTGGGAATCAAACCCACAACTTTTTGGTGCATAGGGCAATGTTCCAACCAATTAAGCCACCTGGCCAGGCCTAAATGCAGTACTTGTAATTGCGACTGACAGAAATGCAATGCTTACAAAAAAGTTGTTAAAATATGAAAAGTTACAGATTATCACAGCTATTCAAGGTATAGCTGAATCAAAAATAAATAAATGAATAAGTAACAAAACTATTTGCTTTATCTGGATTCAGTTCCATTGGACTCAGCTATTTTGGACTTTAACCAATACCTTAACATTGCAATAATGGTTGAAGTTTAACTATTAAATTGAGGCTCAAGAATATAAATACTCATTTCCTAAGAGTTTTAAAAAATATGTTTTTAGTGATTTTAAAGAGTGAGAAAGAGAGAGAGAGAAGGAAACATTGATCAGTTGCCTTCCATACAGGACCGAACCCAAAATCTGCACATGTGCCCTGACTGGGAATCAAACCAGTGACCTTGCAGTGCACTGGACAATACTCAACAAACTGAGCCACAATGGTTAGGGTAAGATTTTTTTAAACTGTAAGACTATTGCCAATTTGTTACAAAGATTTGGCTAGCACTAGCCAAGCTTTCTAATAACACCTAATAATTACTGCTCACTGTTAAAATCTGGAGGTTTTGCCAAAGTGTATAGGTCCCAATATTTAGCTTTCCCATAGAAGTTAAATAGGTGGTCTAATATGGAAAAAGTTTCAGACTATACTCCCTGGAAAATGGTCCAAAATGAATTTAGTGGCTGTGTATATACTTTAATTCTTGCCAGGCTAAATGACTCTTAATTTTATCTATATATATTTCAGAAAATATACATAAACTTGAATCATCTGATATGCGAAAATTTAAGCAACATGCTGAGTGACACTAAATACCAGCATACCCTTCGCCATGTTTCTTCACTATTATGCTCTCTTCTTTTCTTTAAATAAAACAAATCAACTAAGTAACATTACTTGTCCTCAGAGACATGTTTTGCAAGTCACAAGATGAAATTTAATCAAAGAAAACTGAAAACAGCAGGGTACTGAAAGAACCTGGTGCCAGTACAAATACATATGAAATATTTTAGTCGGACTAAGTATCAATAAGTTGTTATAATTAGATTTTATACAAATATTTTATTTATTTACTTAATCTTTTGTTTTCCTATCATAACAATAAAAGCAACCTCTCAAAACCCATCTTTATTTTGTTTATTTATTTAGTTAACCCTCATCTGAGGATGTTTTCCATTGATTTCTATAGACAGTGGAAGAGAGGAAAAGGGAGAGAGAGGGAAAGGGAGGAGATAGGGAGAGGGGGGAGGGGAGAAGGAGGGAGAGAGGGAGAGGGAGAGAAGGAGAGAGAGAGCATGCACAAAAGCAATTGGTTGCCTTTGTGCACAGTCCGACACTCTACTGAGCCATACCAGCCAGAGCCCCTTTATTTTTAACACTGCTTTTATTTTATTTGTGCTTTCCCTCAATATCTCCTGAACATATTTCCTCATTGTTTTCTTTTTATAAGGAAATGCATTTTAAAAAACAGAGTTATTATTACCTTCATGTATAAACAGCATAATATTCAATTTCTTGCCAAAATTAAATATCTTATAAGTCATTTTATTGTATGGATTTTTAAAAAGATGGTACTCTGTAATTAAATATTTGGAGGGCCAGCTTCCTAATGACAGACTCTTTACAGAGAAAGAGTCATGTCTTAAAATGTACATTATGTGGAAAGTCTGAGATGTAGTAGGCCTTTTTCATCTTACCATGAATACTTCCTAATGTAATATCTCCAGCAGCAGAAGATAGAAATGACGAGTCTGTGTAAAGATACTTGGCTTTCAGTAAACCATCTTCAGTAGATATATTAACAGAACTTCATTGTACTTTATCTACGATCACAGTCTAGTAAGAGAAACACTAAAATCAGTTTATTATAAAAACAAAGACTGGTAAAAAGCCAAAATGGTACCTACAAAAGTAGTAGGTAACTACATAAAAACTTACTACCCAATCACTTTATTGACTTTGAGTCTCTATCAATTATAACATTGAGAGTAACAGTGTATTCTCTGTGGAATGTGAAACAGACCCATTATATTCCTTCATTTATTTAGATATTTAATTTCTCTTAATAATGTTTTATATTTCTATGTAGTTTCCATCTTTTGTTAAATTTACTACTATTTGATATTTCTAAGTGCTACTATAAAAGATGCTTTTAACTTCATTTTACCTTATTTGGTTTTTTTATCTGACCTGAAATCCAACAACTTCTAAACTCACTAATTCTAATAATTTACCTGAATTAAAAAAATGTTCTTTACATGTTTAATTCTATTATGTACAAGTGACAGTTTAAGTTCTTCCCTTTTAAGCTTTATATTAATAATGTTTTCCCTGCTCCTTCCTCCCATACTATCTATCTGGCTCAGGCCTCTCATTCAGTGGTAAATAGAAGCCATGGGACAGCAAGAATTCTCATCTTATTCCTGTTTCAGAGGGAAAGCTTACAACATTGGATCGTTGAGTAGGATGTTTGCTATAGATCCCTTTTATTAGATTAAGGTAGTCCCCTTATATTTTAAATTTATTTTGTTATTGTTGTTTAAATCGTAATGGGTTTTGAAATTTAGCACATACTTATCTGATTTTATTAGACTATCATGCTTTTTCTCCCTTCATCTATTAGTGCAGTAAATGCACTATTATTTTTAGAATTTTTCTACTTTACATCTAATAAGGCAGTAGTTTTCCACTGAACAAAATGAAAGAAATTTTGTATTTATGCCTGTTTCCCTAACCAAATGTAGTATGTATTTATGTCTCAAATATTGAGCACAATATAAAATGAAGACATCTAGTTTAGGGATGTATCTCTGCAGTATTTTAAACAAACATTTTTTAAGCATAAAGTGAATGTTAATATAAAATTGTTGACATAGAAACTGAAGTCACCAGGAAGGCTTGCCAGTTTTTCCCAGGGTTAAATTCAAGTATTACACTGGGACATTTAAAGAAAGAACATCATTTTTTTCATCACATAGGCATCAATGTAATCTGCTCCTAATATGTCCTTCAAAAACTATTAAGAATTCAAAATATTTTTAATGAGAACTGAGTTTCAAGAATACTAAAATATGAGAAGATAAATACAACTATGAAAAGAGAAAGAAATGTACCCTGAGGTTCTTATGGGAAACAAATTAGAATCACTTGACCCTCTGAATTTGAAATACATTAACTTTCTTTTTTAATGGACTTTTATTAAATATATAACATATACCCAACTGCTTCTTACCTATTACAGTTTGTTTTAAGCTAATTATGGATTCACAGGAATTTTTACTTTAAATTTAGTTTCAATAATTCTGTCAAAGAAAGATAATATATCCAAATTTGTGAGACTACAAATGTTTTGCATTCTTCCGTGTTATAATAAAAGTATAAAATTCCTGGAAAATTGATCTTTTATCTACAGTTTCTTCATGAAAAGTTGCCTTATGCATGGTTTTAAATTCTCCAAGTTTCCATAAAGTATATAACAAGTAGGAATACTCTAGCTTTTTATAGACACAGAAGCTGTTTTAGTGAATACCGAAAGATAAATAGATAAATATAGAGAGAATATTTGAAACTTAATTGAACTGGCAAAGGGGTACACTTTTGATTAGACGCCACCCACAACCAAATAAAGCCTTTAAGAGACTCTTTATGAATATCTGGAAAATGATTTACTTTGTTCATTAAATGCTAAATATGTTACTCTGTAAAAAGCTAGAAAAATATCATCCACTGCCACTGAAGCAAGGGAAAGTACAACACTTCCCCCACCACAATAATATAGTTATTTTAACCAATCATTCTATAACATTAATTTCAAACAAGTTCAAAATTCACTAATATAATGCAATATATCAGATAATAACAAGAACAATTAAACTTAGGACACCACAGTTTACAGCAAAACATTGAGGCTCTGATTTATAGTTATTAATGATAATGAAACAAATCATCATAAAAATACTATTTGGATTAAAGTCTATAACTTGCTTATTAACAGAAATAGCCATTTAAAGAAAGAAAGAAGGAAACAAAGAAAGAAACAAACAAACAAAAAAACCAGATCTAAAAATCATTATCTTCCTGACAGAGATATTGCTACAAATTCATTTTCTTTTCTATGAGAGAAAAAACTTTTCATAAGTTTAGGTATTAAAAATCAACATCACATATAATAAAAATCAAATTTAAAGGAAGCACTGTGGCTGTAGTCCTACCTAAAAAAGAGAGGTCAACTGACAACTATGTCATTAATTTATCCAACAATCAGATGAATTTCTATCCTCTGTGTACCAAACTTGGGATACCAAAATTAATGATACAATTGAAAAACAGCAATTCCATATAAAAAAACATGTACATAATGCTGTTAAGTGTTTATAGAGCTCATCTGATTCTCACAATCATGTTGACAAGGAAAAATAAATGACATGATGCCTGTTTCATGAAAAACGAAACAAACTCTCAATACAGTTAACTAGTACATCAGGACTGGTCAAGTTATCTTTGTAAGCTGTGTTTCATTTACCTTTATCATCGTCATTACAATAAACTATATTAGAGTTAGCTATGTGCCAGACATTGTTTTAAGTACTTTGTATTAACTAATTTAATCCTCATAACAACCCTCTGAATGAAGTACATTACTATTATTCCACTTTCCAGAAAACGCAAACACATAAAGATGAAGAAATTTGTCTGAAATTAAAGAGCTTAGTAAGTAGCTGAACCAGGACTGAAACCCAGGTACTTTGGTTCTTAATTTTGTGCTCTTAACCAATTCAAAATGTTGCCTCTCAAATATGCAAAACACAATGTCTTTAAAAGGTAACATATTTCACAAGCATGTATTTTCTATAAAAACCCCTTAAACTTAGAAATATGCTTCAGAAGTTAACATTATAATATAAATAAAAGGAAATATCTACACTAATTCTTTTGTACAACACAAAACTCAATTGAGCAAGAAAACAAAATAGTATAAGATAAAGTAGTAATTAAATGAATATTCGATAAACCATGAAAATTTAAAGAAATAATGAGTGGAAACAGTGACTAAAATATTAAAAATGGCACATAATTAAGAGATGGTTTAAATTCTTCTTTGATAGTTATATTTGAATGCCAATATGTAATATTCTGGTAACTTAGGTCATTCAGATAACATAAGCTTATCATTTAAAGGACAGAGTTTGAAGCACCAACAAAGTTGTCCAATTTCCCTTATGTTCCTACAAACCACAATAATCTGAGAGGTGAAACTAAATGCCACCTCAAAAGAGCTGCCATATAAGGCAAGGCAGTATCTTTCAATACTTTCCTAGTTTAATTTTAAAAGATAAATTTAAATGTGTGGCCCTGGCCGGTTTGGCTCAGAGGTTAGAGCGTCCGCCTGCGGTCCGGAGAGACCTGGGTTCGGTTCCCGCTAAGGGCATGTACCTCGGTTGCAGTTTGTCCCCGGCCCTGGTTGGTCGTGCGGGTGGCAGCCACTCGATGTGTCCCTTCACATCGATGTTTCCCTCTCTCTCTCCCTCTCTCTCCCTCCCACTCTGTCTGTACAAAAAAAAAAAAAAATTGAAAAAATGTCCTCGGATGAGGATAAAAAAAAAAAAAAAAAAAAAATTTAAATGTGTGGGTTTAAACAGTCTCCCACAGGTTGATGACAGATAACAAAAGTGACAACAGTAGAAACATCAGTGTTATAATCTACCTTGTTTCATTATGCCAACAGTAATCTACCTGTAAGAGGTACTCACAACTCCTCCCTACCAACTATCTGAGGATAAAGCTGAGTATGGAATTTAACAAATGTATAACCAAAGATTCTTGCAAACTGCCCAAGTACAAAATAAAAGGCGACTTAGATCTTTCTCAAAGATTTAAAGTATTATCAATCATTTTTTAAAAATTGTGACAATTTATACTTCAAAATTATACTGTAATACTATGCTACATCACAGAAAGCAACAGAATTTCATAAAAAATTACAAAGTATCTTATAACAACTAAAATCCCTATGGCTAATACAAGATTGTGAAGATTAGGAATGCATTCTAGTGGTGCCATCTTGTGGAAAATACTGAAGAAAGTTGAGTTTTGAAACTCATCCTTCAGTTGCCTAAAGGCAAAGTAAACAGGTCTTGGAAAAATACTCAAATAAACCAAACACATAAGAAAATTTAATCACAACTATGGTGGTATTACCTAATGACAAATTTTAATCAATGATCATAATTCTTCAAATCTAGAATTAAATATTAAGTATTTAAAGTTGTTATTAATTCTAGTCCAGCCGGTGTGGCTCAGTGGTTGAGCACTGACCCATGCATGAAGAGGTTGCCAGTTCGATTCCTAGTCAGGACACATGCACAGGTTGTGGGCCCGATCCCCAGCAGGGGGCATGCAGGAGGCGGCCACTCGATGTTCTCTCTCATCGATGTTTCTCTCTCTCTCCCTCACACTTCTCTCTCTAAAATCAATAAAGAAAAAAAAATTAAAGTTGTTATTAATTCTAAATAAGAAACTGTCAAAAATATTAAATCACAAACTAAAATGTAAATTGTATATTTAACCGCCTCAATTTGAAATTTGAATTTACTAGTGAACTAAAATGCAGTAAAAGGGAATGTTACACCTCAAATTTTGTAGACCCTACCCACTGTATGAGCCAACTTGATGTAAAACTGAAATTACCAACAACAAAAAGTTTCAATCTTACACTTTTATCTGAGGCATGAATATCTATATTTCCATAAACTGTTTCCAGACAGATCACTTTGCCTCCTCTAGTTTGAACATGTAATTTTTGACTCTGAAAGAGAAATACAAAATACATAAGAGAATAAATTTGACTTACAAGATTTCCAACATTTTATAGATTAAAAAAATACAAAGCAGAAAAGAGGAACAAGAACTTAAACAGAAATGCACTGTATGGCCCTGGCCAGTTTGGCTCAGCGGTTAGAGCATTGGCCTGTAGTCCAGAGAGACCCGGGGTTGGTTCCTGCTACGGGCGCGTACCTTGGTTGCAGTTTGTCCCTGGCCCTGGTTGGTTGTGTGGGTGGCAGTCATTCAATGTGTCCCCTTCACATCGATGTTTCTCTCTCTCTCTCTCTCTTCCTCTTTCTTCCTCCCTCTCTATCTGAACAAAAAATGGAAAAATGTCCTTGGGTGAGGATTAAAAAAAGAAATGCACTGTATGGAATAACTTCAACTAGGAAAGAATGTCAAATGCTGTTAAGGCGATTAAATAAGTCATGTGGACTCAAAGGGGAAAAAAGAGCTATTCAGGTATTCCAGTAGCTTCACTGAAAAAGAACTTGGGATTCAAAGATCACTGACTGGTTAACTAAACATAAATGATGAACAGATGACAATAATGATCAGTTACTACTCATTGTTATTCATATTCATCATTACTAATAACAATATTTACCACTTACTAGGCATTTCTTTTCATCAAAATACAAAATTCACTATTTTACATTAACTATCATTTAATATAGCAATCACAGAAATGGGTATCATATTTTTCTCCATTTTACAGGAGAAATCCAAAAATCAGAAAAGTTAAATAGCTTTATCATGTGACATGGTTAGAAAAAAAATAAAACCTAACAGAATCAAGTTTTGTATAATTCCCAAACCCACACTCTTAGCTGGGTTCATCTGAAGGATATATCCACACATGGGATAACAGTCCACTGACGGTTAAACTTTGTAACACAACACCCCAGAAAATAGATTTAAGTGAAAATTCCTCTAAGCCAACAGTTCTCAACCTGTGGGTCACAACCCGTTCGGGGGTCGAACGACCCTTTCAAGACCATCAGAAAACACATATTTCCCATGGTCTTAGGAACCGAGACACAGTTCTTCTGTCTGTCTCCAGGCAGGTCTGCCCACATGCAGATATGCCCAAATACAACATGAGGAACTGTATTAAAGGACCGCAGCATTAGGAAGGTTGAGAACCACTGCTCTAAGCAAAAATAAAACAGCAGTGACAAATTGCCTCCTCTGCCAGACCAAAAAAAAGATGACAGCAAGTGTGTAACTTGATTTCACATTTGGCAACTGTGGCTGAGACTACTCCTGGTCCAAAAATATCCATTTTTCCCCCCAAAGTAATAGGTGTATAGCTGGGCCCATGAAGAGACTGTCTTTAGGTGTTGCTAAGTTCTTGCCAAGAGACTATAAGTGAAAATGCCATGTGCAGTTTCCAGACCTGAGCTTTGAGAAGAGTTGGTGTGCCTTCTCTGTGCTCTGCCCCTCCCACCAGCTGAGTGCAGGCTGCAATAAGGTTCTAAGAGATGGCAGGGCCACAGGATGGAAGGAACCTGGAATCAGGGAGTAGAAAAGAGTCACCAACACATCTGGACACAAGTGAGAAATAAACTATAGCTGTATATGAACCATTAGATGATTGGTCTATTTTTTAGAGTAGCTTATTTTACTTTAACCATTTATATATGTCTTCATTCTGCCACAATTATAAAAAGAATAGGTCAATAGCAGAGAAAGAAAAGTAGCTAAAGCAAACTCACCAATAACATGACCAGTAATAGCAGAGAAGTGTCTAAAATATAGGGAATAAAAAATTCAAATAACCATTTATTTTATGATTGCTTTATTCAGAGGGAAAAATAGTAAAACCTTGGACCAGAAATGAATTTCAAAAAAATTTAGTGAAAAGGCAAAATGAATCATTCTTAAAAGTATATCTGTATTACAGCATAATAGACTACTTCTCGTCCATAGTGACATGAGTCTGAAATCAAATGGTATATGAAACAGTCTTTATCAATCAGACAAGTAATTGATGAACAGTAGAAAAGAGTATCCCCAAAACAACTGTTATTTTAAATTAAGAGTTCTTAACCAAACCTACATTAAATTTCTAGTGAGTCTGTATATCTCATGAAATTATAAGCAAAATTTTATATACATGTGCATATTTTTTGAGACAATCATCAGATTTTCAGAGGTCAGAACTCAAAAATATTGAGCTATTATTATAAGTTAAAGCTCATTTATTCCAAAAAAAGTGAAGCCGATTATAAAATTTTTAAAAATATTAAAAACAAAATAGTTAAAATAAATGTTTACATCATTAACTATTTAGTATAATATAAACAGAAATTTTAAAAAAGGGAAAGAAAAGGTATAATATAAACTATCATACTGCATTTAAACATTTAAATGTGTGGCATTCAATGAGTTATGGGTCTATTGACTAAAATATTTACTTAGTTATTCTCTAAGAATGCTGAATAAATGTAGTGTTACCATACAGTTTGCTTGGACAATAAAGAAAAGTGGAAAGTTCATGAGCCTGGAAATCAGAAAGACCAAGTTCAAATCTCAGCTTAATTTATTAGATAAGTGAACCTAAATGAGTTTCTTAATCTCTTGATGCCTCATAGTTTCTTCCTTGATGAAAAGGAGATAATTCAAGGATTAAATGAAGGTTAGGTAAGTTTTCTACTATGTCAAAAGGGACTGTAAACACTAGCTACTATCACTGCTATAAACATTTCATTACATAGATCAAATATATTTCAAGTCCTTAAAAGGAGTGGAAGAGAAACTTAGACTAGTAGGTTATCATTGAGTCAAGATAATTATATTGTACCATATTTAAAACTAAAAACAGATATTTTACCAAGTGTTCTCATTTGTAAATATAAGTCAGTTAAATCTTAAGTCTCAAGAATAATTCTCTTAACCCTTGGTATATACCATGAGGATCCACTGGACCCAATTTTAGTTCTTGAATTTATTTTTTTGAGCTGTTTCATTTGTAAAGACTGATATATCATGACTTTTATTCTTAGAGGTCTTTGAAAGAACAAATAGAAAATTTACTTATTTCTTAAAAATAGAATAAAACTCATTCTACCTTAAAATTACTGTATCAGTCCATTGGACTCTGTAAATCTAAAATATATTGCAGGGGCTTTGTGTTCTTATTTTTCATATGTCTAATAACATTTTGCTATTTCATTATCCCAAAAGTTATTTCATCATTATTAGTCAATTATTCCCAACTATGCTAAAAAAAGCAAAAATAATAAAGCAACAGAAGGATGATACACTTGCATAGAATGTTAGTTCTCAGCTAAAGGTGATTTTGTCCCCCAGAGACATTGGCAACAGGTGGAGATATTTTTCACTGTCATAACTGAAGAGTGTGCTACTGACAGATAATAGTTAGAGGGCAGGGATGCTGCCAAACATCCTACAGTGCATAGGTCAGCTCCTGACAACAAATTATCTGGCCCAAAATGTCAACTACCAAAGTTGAGAAATTGTTTTTTATTTTATGCCCACAATGGCAGAAAACAGAGTTCACAAAAAGATCTTTTAGAATTATCAGATGAATCAAAAGATGAATGACAGCAGCATACTGGCTTCTGAATTTTTTTTTATCCTCATTTAAGGACATGTTTTCATTGATCCCAGAGAGAGAGAGAGAAACATGGATATGAGAGAGAAACATTGATCAGTTGCCTCCAGTACTTGCCCGGAACAGGGATTAAATCTGAAACCTAGGTATGTGACCTGACTGGGAATCAAACTGCCAACTTTCTGGTGTACAGGACAACACTCTAACCACCTGAGCCACTAGGCCAGGGCAGTGTCTGAATTGGATTGTGAAATTGAAAACCTAAGGCTCTGAGTCTTTAGAGGACAATATTTTATATAAATGTTCTGAAACTCAAGTATTGATGACAACAATATCTTGCTAGGAGAAAAAAGAACTATAGTATTCCACTCGTTAGTCATTCAACATGAAGACTTCATTGTGCAATCTTTTATAAGAACCTGAACCATTTACTTTGCTACAGGGACATGTTACAGTATTCTTTAATTTTTTATACTTGTGTAAATAAATTTATCTGAAATGGTTCACAAATGGACAAATGTTAAAGGCAGGTGTGCAAATAAAAGTAATTGGAACAAAACAAGTAACATTTAATGCATTAAATTAACCATTCTAATGTTTATAAATCTAAAAATAAAAATATTTTGCAATTATGAAGCAAAGATGACTGATGTCTCTTCAAGTCACCTGCCATGAAAGTTCACAAAAGTACTGTATTTGGAATATGCAAGAATATGAAGTACCAGTAGTAAGGATAAGCCAGAACCTATCAGAGATGTATCTGAAATCATTTAGAACTGAGACCAATCTAATTTTAAGAAAATGAAGTCTAAAAAAATGTCATTACAAAACAAGATCATTTGTTTAGCATAAATACCTACTTAATCCTTAAATAATGAGCTGACTGTACATAAAAAAATGTGATTAACCTAATAATTTTTAAATGACTATTAGTTTCAAAATAAAATCTAAAAGGAATATAAGGGAAAAAATCTTTAAAATTGCTACAACTTGGATACTTTCAGAACAGAACTGATTTCAAGGCATAATTTTTGCAAGTAATTTCTGAGTGACTAATAAATCAAATTCAATATTTACAATAAATGATATTCAGAATACTAGTTGTAGTCTGATATTGTAGTTCATAGTTTAAGGTTGTTGTTGTTTTAAATAATGCTGAAACAAAATTTAAAAAATGTTTATACCTTAACAGACTGTAAGATTCTAGTCTCCTGCTCAGTTTTAATTTTGCAATTATCACATACTAATTTGGACCTTTATACAGCCCAGACCCTGATGACTTGATATTCAAATCTAGAAATGAAAAAAGAAAATACAAGTTAGTACTATCGTTAATGGGCTCCAAAGCATTCAATACCCCCTAGAAATCCAGCTCCTCATTGATCTTCATATTATTGAACCCTGGAAAGAGCATAGTTGTCAGTAGTCTCTCTCTAAAGGTAAGGGGTCTCCACCATGGTAACAGAACCAAATGTAAGGTCTTTTTCTGCCAGTTTTTAGAAATAGAGCAGTTATTTCTGTTGGCCAGTATCATCTAAAGAGAAAAAGTAACATAGAAGGGAAGTAAAGGAGGTCAGAAATTCCAAGTCTTAAAGGCAGTCCTGGGAAAGATCATATAAGCTTCTGTCCCACTAAGAAAACAAAAAACACAAAGTTCTAGTTAACAAGTCACTGTGGTAAACTGGATAAGTCAGTTAGCCTATTTTCCATATATTCAAGAAGATTTTAAAATTGGTTCCCAAGCCTCTCCTAAATTAAATGCCTTTTTCAGAAGCAGAGTGGCTCAGCATATATGATCATAACTTAGTATTTCAAGTTCTATCTCTAACCTTTTGTATCCAAAAAAGGGGATATTACCATGCCAATAAATCACAAGGTATTTCCAGTAATAAAAATTAGGAGCAACTTTGTGAAACCTAGTAATAAACAGTATTAAAACCTCAAAATTGTGAATACATAACAGTATTATCAGAAGAAAACTGGAAAATAAAGATTCACAGGTGCCATCTTTGGCTATCAATTTAAGGTATAATCATAGTTGTCTGTATAAAAATTAAAAACAAAACATTGATATTTAATACCTAATTCAAATAAATATTGATATCATATGATGATTTCCCTTAAATCAGACTAGTGAAATAAACACTATGCTGCCTCAAACACAAACTACTGGCAGTGTTGATAGACCTGAAAAGAAGTGAACAGATTCTATACATTCTCTACCCTCACTAGGTAGGTACAGAAGTTAAGGCTACACACTGAAGGCGGTAATGCAACTTTTACCCATTCACTGAAATGGGTCTAGACAAAATGGAAGAACAAGTGAAGAAAACTGAATAATGTTGATTTATGGGGCCTGTGGAATCAACACATGGAAAAAGTCCATTGGAAATGGGGTTCTGGCTCTAAAAAGAGGAATCCACAAATAATGAGGTTTGGGATCACCAACACAGGTAGTTCCAATTCTATTTGTGTTGCTATAAAATTTTGTGAATCTTTATTTCAATACTCAAGTCTATTTTGTTCTATGATATACACCACCCCAGACTGTTACATTTTGAGGTCAAGGGTTTGTTATTCATCTAAGCCAATTAGAAGTTGAGAAGCAATAAAGCATAGTGGTTCAGCAGACTCCAGTCAGTTCAAATCCTAGTTCCACCACTTTTTGTCTGAGAACAAACAGGCATATTTCTTGATCTAACCTGACTAGAATATAAATTTCATGAGACAGATTTTTTTTCTCTTTGTTCATCCACAATGAAGTTTATGAATTTGCTGCATCTCAATTTCCTTATCTGAAATGGTGACAATAACAGTTATCTACTTTGTAGATAAGTACAATTGTAAAGATTAGAAAAGATTACTTTACAAGTTTTAGCTGCTGATATGATCATCAACAACATCATCCTTCAATCTCCAGAAAGAGGAGACCCTGGGTAGACTTTCCTAGAAAAGCGTTGTCTTGCATTTAAGAAATAACCCAAACACCTAGGAAACATAACATGCATGCATTATCAGCTGAAGTTTCCCAGGCAGTCTTACTAAGTGTTTTTCTTCAAAATCTGCTACCCACAGAAAATGTACTTAGGCCAGATGAATGGAGACTTATTGAGACAGGCCAGTAAACCAGGACAAGAAGACTAGGGAAACTGAGACAGAGAGCTGAACAAACAGAAAGAGCAATTGACAGCAGATACAGGTCACCTCTCTAGAAATACGTAACATCTAGGCCTTAGTTGTATTTCAGAGTAGACCCAGAGGAGCAGCAAAACCGGGTGGGTAACACTAGGACCAGCTGCAATGACTAAGGGACTCCTGCCATGAAAATAACCAATCAGTGAAGACCACGACCCTGAAGGAGCACACCTAGAAAACTGATGAATATTCTGTGGAAACCGCTCCTGAGACCTCCCCTAAGATTCTCAAAGCAAGAGAGAAATAAGTCTCAAGACAAAGGACCTAGGGCATGCTCTCCTTCCCAGGTGCACGCCCCTCCCTTTTTCTTCCCCAACCTGCATGCATCTCCTAGATTCTAAGGAACCCGACAAGGCTTGCAGCCAGGGCAGCAATGGGCAGGGGCAGTTCATCCCAGACAAGGCCCCTGAACCCGTCCCCAAAGCCAACCAGCCTAGGCTCATTTCCCCAGCCTTTCCTTGTTTCACTGCATCCAGCTTCAGTAATAAATGTCCTCTAAAATTCACCTGGACTCGAGTTGTGACTTTTCCTGCACAAAGTTATGAACCCACACACTAGGGACCCCAGCTCTAGGCAGACTCACCAAGGGCCAGGTCCCCTTCTCTCTAACAGTATCATTAAGAAGCTGGGTGCCTATTTGAAACCAAACACTTGGTCCAGGTTAGAAACGGAACATCCAATAGACAGGGCTGTTTGGGGCAGAGCCAAAAGCAAGGGGAAATGTGGATGGACTGCCATACCACTGAAGATTATGGAAACGTGAACCCTGAAAAATAAACCACTTTTCCGCTGACAAGGTGCAGTGACAGAAATAGGAAAAAAGTGCCAAAGGAGATTATAAAGGGCTCCATAAGTGTTATAGTATTTAGATTATTCCAAAACATGTTTGCATTCGATATCAAAAACGTCTATGAATGGGACACAAATGTCTATCTACCACTGGCAAACTCAAAGTAAAACAGAAAACAAAAGGGGGGGGGAAGCTTTTGAAGGGGACAACTGTATTTAAGTTAGAAAGTCAGATGCAAAGGCACCAACTAAAAGCACAAGTTGCCCGCCCCCTCCCACGGCTCAGTGGTTGAGCAGTAGGCCCGTGCACCAGAGGCCGCCAGTTCAATTCCCGCCAGGGCAATGCCCAGGCTGTGGGCCTGGTCCCCAGTGGGGGCATTAGGAGGCGGCCGATGGACGTTCTCTCTCTCTCCCTTCCTCTCTCGAAAATCAATGTAAGTACACGTTGGCCTGGGACCCAAACCCGTTTCAACCTCCCTTCACTTGCCAAACTTCAGGGGCACATTCACTTCTACCGACGCCTGTGGATCAATGCTGTCAGACACGATGGCCACCTCATTCAGCGCCTCGTCGTACTCCACCTGCAGGCCGGCCGGGTCCTGAGCGCTGCCCTGCACTCCGCCCAGGGCGACCAGCACGTGGCCGGCGTCCGGGTAGGTCACGGGGTCCAGGGGCCTCACGGCCAGAGAGCACGGAAGCCGCGCGCGCAGCCCACCGAACGGGCTCACTAGCAGCGCCCACTTCTTCAGCGTCCGGCGCGCAGGGCCCGGCGGACAGACCTCGGGATCGGACCCGGGCGGGCGCTCGCGCCCACCTGAGACGTACGGCCGAGCATGACAAGCCCCACACGCCCAGCACCCCGCGGCCTCGCCGGCGCACACCGGGAGGAGACCCAGCTGCAGGGATCCGAGCCCTCGGCCCAAGCGGGTAGCGAACATGGCGCGCCCTTCTCGCGCTGCCTCAGATCACCTCAGCCATATGCCAGTCTCGGCACCGCCAGGCGAGTTGGCACTGCACAGACTCCAATGGAAAGGGAGATGTGTGCGAGAGTTTACTGAAGTAGACCAAGACTGTTCACTAAGCCTGACAAGTAAACCTCACACGCACACGACTCGGCCGGCAAGTTGGAATTCCAAGGCTATAAGTATCCCCTGGGGTCGCCTCCCCTTCGCAAAGGCAGACGGGATAGTTAGTTCAATATGGAGCCAGACAGCAAGGAATCTGGGCTGCCCAGAAACTACATATCCCAGGAGGCAATGCGCAGGGTAGACTGCCAGTGAGAACAGTTGTGCTTGGAAGGCGCGCCTTCGTTGCCTCAAACTAATTAGCCGGTGGAGGGAGTGAGAGAAAGATCTATGGGCATTTTGATGGCCAATGGAAAGCGCAGACGGGGGAGGTGGGCAAGACTGTGTGGGGTTTTTTTGGATACTGCGGACTTGACTCCTTTGGAGAGGGTGGAGCGTTAGAGTGAGGCCCTGGAGGCCATAACCCTCAGGGAAACATAGTATCTTAAATAAGGATCAGGACCAAGGGAAGCAGTGAGAATCTGCGGTTTTAAAGGTGAACAGTACAAGCAAACTGGGAGCACCCTCAGTGGTGGATAGGTCTGAACTTCACTGAAGTAGGAGGTGCCCTGGGATGGAGAATCCCTTGGCAGAGGATAAAACTTCAGATTGGGAATTTACTCTTTGACAGAATATATTGGAATAGAGTTAGAGTCCTGCCTCATTCGACTCTAAATGTCTCAGGCCAGTCATTGGACGTCTCTGTGTTTTAATTGCTCACTCTTAACATGAGGTCCATAATACCTTCCTCCACTTAGGAGGTTTTTGTAAGGATCTAGTGAGATGATGGACATTCGTGAACTCAGAGCACAGGCCACGAAATTGCAATGTAAAATACTGTATTTTTATTTTAGGTATGACACTGAATCTATGTTACCAAGAAAAATGTGAGATATCAGGACTTGTGTTGATAGCAGCACTGATCTCTTTGTCTACAAGTGGTCCTCGGGTTTAGGACTAAAATAAGACACAAAAATGAGAGTCGACAGAGTGCAATGGGAAGAATATGGGACTGATTATTTTCCTGGCTCTGCCACTGGTTTATCAGTGTCACCTGAACCTGTTTCTTCAACCTTAAGATGAAGAGAGGTTTTTACTGAATGACTCTGTGAGGTCTCTTTCCTTTTATTATCCATGGGTAATTTAAACAATGAAAAAGAAAAAAAAATTTTTTCTCTTTCCT